TATTTTGGATTCAACAGTGACAGTGACATTCTTTTATATCGCAGTTTTACAGTGAATCAATCAGTTGTACTTCAATTCAAAGCCTGTGATAATAATGGAGGAGCTGTTTAGCCTATTACCTTTTAGCTTGTTAGCTTTTAGCCTGTTATCTAGCTGATCAGCCTACTTTGCTAGAAAACCCAGCATAGACCAGCATAGCTGGTCATCAGCAAAACCGGCAGCACTAAACCAGCTCTAAACCAGCTTAGACCAGCATGTATTCCATGCTGGCCTATGCTGTTTTTTTCAGCACAGTAGTTCTAGTTAAGAAAATAAGTTGTTAGCTCCTCAGTTTAAACAAAACAGTCGAAGATTATTTCATTAACAGCACAAAGACTTTTCGTGTCTTTTGCAGCGATACAGAATTCTGTTGTTGTGAGATGGTCATAGATGAATATATAATCAATGAATATATATGAATATATAATCAAATTTTAGAACCGGAACTATCCATTTGGTAATCTGTAATATAAACAAGTCATACATACATATACATATGTCATAATGTTTGATATCATGACAGTATACTTAGCATGTGACATAAGCTGTTATGACATCAAGCATTATGACATCTGTCATGACAATTACCAGTAATGGTAACTTGAAACAAAGTCTATCATGACAGCAAAGAACATCTTCCCTGACATGTTTATCGCATGTCAAGAGTTCAAGTGTTAATGCTATTTTAATGTACCCAAATAAATGACACCAACATGAGGTGTCTATTATGGAACCGACAGAGTGAATCACATGGGGAATGACCACCCCAGTTGTCTTAAGAGCCTCTTAAAGCTAATAAAGCCTCACCTCAGGGAGCGTGACGCTTGAATGCGATGATAGGCACCCCCTGCTGTTCACCCGCGGAGGTCCTTGTGTTGATGACGTATGCATGAATCATTCAGGACTGTTTTGGGGGGAAGGTTTTGTGCATGCACAAGCCCTTGCATGAGGCTCAAAGTAAGAGAATGAATGGATGGCGGAGCAAGAAAGAAAGCGAGATGCAGGTATTCTCTTACAGAAATGATCAATGTGGTGCTTCCCCATCTGTCAGTGCATGCAATACATATCTGCATAGGGTGATCCCCTCCCATGGTAGCCCTTTGGAATTGAGAAGGAAATAGGAAAGTAAGATGAAGTGCAGCACAAAAAAATATTAGCTCACCTGGTGGTTGGTGTTGGGTAATATCGCAGACCTCCATACAGCAGGGTTCAATTCCCCTTACAGGCAGGCACACTGGTCAATACCAGTGAGAGTCCTTGGGCAAGACTCTTAATGCTACATTTGCCCACATCTGTTCAGTTTTAGGTCACTTAAGACTTTGGCATCTGTCAAACGTGTGAATGGTAACATTAGAAATTAGGATCCCCAGAACAAGACCAGCATCATTTGTGGTTACCATGGCAGTGGACCAAACAGCCATTATTGATCGTGACCTCGTGCACGTCAGTATCTTCTTCCTCTCCCACAGTGGCGGGTGGCAGGTTGCGCGTGGACTGGAGCACCGAAGGTTCGTTCTCAGACCTCGCACTCTTGGGCAACACACGGACCAGTCTGGCACGTGGCCTGGGCGCACCTTTCAAGGACCTGGACCGTTACTTTGAGGTGCCAACATCTTATTCCAAAGCACGTTTGTTCCACATCTTACAGCATCCAGGAATAGAAAGCCGGTCTTTATCTTTCATCTTTCGACACTAGGGTGGCACTTGAACCAGAAGCAGCCCCCATGCAGCAATCGTCTAGAAAGGGGGAGCCATATATAGTAGGCATTGTGATCCCGCATCGGGCTCCGTCAGTCGTGGTCTGTTTCTGTCGTCATTATAATGGCCCGGCCGTGGGCCGATAGAGAGGCCGCTGCTTAATGAGGTTAGCAGCTTGTCGGACATAAAGCAGTGTACCTGATAGTTTACCATGATATGGACGGAAAAATCCTATTGCAATTCCGGTCACATGCGCCACTGGTCAAATGTCATATTTAGTTGATTTTCTAAGTACAAATTTGCTGCAGGAAACAAATTTCTGCATAATTGCTGTTTTTATCTGAATTGCTTTCCAACATATTGGAAAAAAACATAAAATGTGGCCTGTGCAAAAGTTATGGCACTGTATATGCTTTTTTTCCGATATAATCTCAGCAAATTGAAATTGTGCACTAAAATATGCAGAAAAATACCATATTTAAGTTTTCTGTAGTCAGTGTTTTAACTTATTTTCCCTTAGAAAATTAACAAAATGTCATTTGACCAGAGGTGTTCGAAATTTTGCACATTTGAAATTTTTGCCTGTTTGAGTAGAGCTTTGCAAAGCCAAGGGTGCGGTAGGTCTCACAATTGTGGACCTCATTGTTAAGCGCCTGTTGGATTGTGAAATTTCATATTGTAGATTTTGCCCTCAAGATCAAGTAATTTGAAGTTGAGAGAAGCAGTTTTTCCCTGATTAGGTTTCATTGGAAGTTAATGAGGTTTTAAGTCAAGCACAGAGAACCTTTCGGTGTTCATGCTTCTAGTAGCAATGGGAAAAAATCCCAATGTCATTCCCACCGACCAGACTCAGTAATTTCACCATGTGAAGCAGAAAATGATTTTCCCAACCTTTCCCGCTATGATAATTCCCTAATTAACTAAACCGTCCCAGTCATTAAGAGGCCTCATACCGCTGTCGGTTCCTCTCCCTGACTTTCATTAAACGTTCACCAGCTAGTTTTCTAATTATCCGCAAGTCATTCAAAGAAATTAGCAATTAATTTCTAATGACTTTTTTCTCCCAAATAGAATCACCGAACAGTGTGCAAGGTGCTTATTTCAGCAGCCGGGGCCATTTCTGATATTCATGGGCGACATCCTAACTTGAGGGCCCCCCAGGCTTCTCAATTACGTTATTTTTGGCTAAATGAAAAAATGAAAAATAATTAATACTTCATTCATTTGAATTAGGATAAAAAATGTAATAAATGTTAATGGAAATACAACAAAGCCATAATTAACAATATACACGAGAATTGATTATACAGTGTTGAACAAAATGAATAGAAGTGACCACAAGTTCAGACTCGTCGGCTTTCAGATGTCCACTTTTGGTGATCTAGTGCATGAATGGCGGTATGTCCAGGAATTTCAAATCTGACCACACATGTTGTCACAAAGGACCTCCATCTCTTACACAGCCACTCATTGACATTACATACAGACTCGTGTACAAAATAGCACACTATACACACACATTAACAACCACCTGGAATACCACAGCAGTGGCCTAGCAACACCTTAGCAACCACCTGGGATAGCATTGCAGCAATCTAGCAACAGCACCTTAGCACTGACCTGGGATAGCATAGCAACAGCCTAGCAACACATACGCAATCACCTGGGATGCATAGTGTCAGCCTAGCAACACATCAGCAAACACCTGGGATACCATAGCAACGGCCTCACAATACATTAGCAATCACCTGGCATAGCATCACAACAGCCTAGCAACAGCACCCTAGTACTGACCTGGGATAGCATAGCAACGGTCTAGCAATACGTTAGCAACCACCCGGGAAAGCGTTGCAACAGCCTAGCAATACTGCTTAGCAACCACCTGGGATAACATAGCAACAGTCTAGCAACACCTTAGCAACCACCTGGAATACCACAGCAAAGGCCTAGCCAAATTCTTAGCAACCACCTGGGATAGCATAGCAAAGGTCTAGGAACACATCAGCAACCACCTGCAATGCCACAGCAAAGGCCTAGCCAAATCCTTAGTAACCACCTGGGATAGCATAGCAACAGCCTAGCAACACCTTAGCAACCACCTGGGATAGCATTACAACACTCTAGCAAAACCTTAGCCAGCACTTTGGATATAATAAGTACAAGAAGTACTTCAAAAAGATCTTTTTTATTTTTCATGTTTTTCAAAAAATCTTGATGAGACTTATTATTAAAAAATATTATATATTTTAAATAATTTTAACAAAGATTGACAATTATTTTAATGCATTTATCAGCTTAAAAAATGAAAAAGAATGTCTTAGAATTGTTTATGTAGATGTAGATGCTGTTTTCCATCCCCAACACGAGTAAAACTCACTAAAAAGAAGAACTGTTATAGTTCTTTGTGGTTAATTCAGGAGGAACCGAACGGAGAACAGACGGACATCGACTTTCTGTGGTTTATTCTTATTTTGAGCTCATTTTATGGTGGTGAAGTCGTGGGTCGCTCCTGTAATGATGAATGATCCATATGTGGATCTGTGTGTGGAGCTGGACCTGCTGTCTGCACTGATATTCATGTGTGTGTGTCGTCATACAGAGTCAGAGTGACACTGACCTGAAACCATGAATAAAGGAGAATGAAAAACAGACTACAATGACTTTATACGTCATTCAGCTCAGCTAACATTCAACAAGCGGTAGAGTCTGTCTGCGCGTCAGTCTGTCTGTCTGCGCCTCTGTAAGGCTTACAGTGAAAAACCACTGAACCGGAGCCATCTCTGGCGCGTGTGTGCGTGCGCGCGTGCGTGACGTCATCAGAGAATCGAGCCGCGTTTCCCGGGAGAAAATCGTTCCATGGTGACCGGTTGCTATAGAAATGCTCGTTTTTTACGAAGTTGGCCGAGAGAGAGAGAGAGAGAGAGAGAAGGAGACAGGAGGAAAGAGAGAGGAGGAGTAAGCAGGAGAGAGGGAATGAGAGAGAGAAAAGAAGAAGGAGGAGGGAGAGAGAGAGAGAGAAGGAGAGAGAGAGAGAGAGAGAGGAGAGAGAGAGAGAGAGGAAGGAGGAGGAGGAGGAGGAGAGAGAGAAGGAGAGTGAGAGGTAGGAAGAGAGAGGGAGGAGGAGGAGGAGAGAGAGGAAGGAGGAAGAGAGAGGAAGGAGGAGGAAGAGGGAGAGAGAGAGAAGGAGAGAGAGGGAGGGAGAAGGAGGAGGAGAGAGAGAGGTAGGAAGAGAGAGGAAGGAGGAGGAAGAGAGGGAGAGAGATAGAGGGAGAAGGAGGAGGCGGTTTGCAGCTGAGCTGAACGGCTACGTGGCATGTCGGCGTTTTCCATGGAGAAGCTTCTGTTCCTCTGCGGCGCGAGCGAGGAGCCGGTGCGCGTGTGTGTATGTAGACCTGTGTGTGTGTGTGTGTGTGTGTGTGCGCGCGCGCTCTGCTCGCTGTCCGGTGCTGAAACGGCCTCTCCGTTATTGCCGGCGCTGCTCGCAAGTCTCCGGGGCGCCGTTATGAAACCTGTTGGCGCCGGAGAGAGGAGCGGCGCGCGCCTCTGCACGGCAGCGCGGGGGCTCGCGAGGAGGACCACTATGGACCGATATAGCGCGTTATTTCTGTCTCGAGCGCCGCTTCGCTCATTAAGGGCAGATGAGTGACGTCAAATGGCGATGAGCGCGGCACACTGACGGTGTGTGTGTGTGTGTGTGTGTGTGTGTGTGAGGACGCGCGCGCGCGCGCGCGCTTGCCGTCTCTTCTCGCGCGCTCCGCGTTCAGTAGGCCAGTAGGGGAGGGAGCGCAGGGTTTGGTGTGTGTCTGGGGGGTCATGGTGTGATGTATTTAAATGAACTGGATTCCGGCGCGTATTTTAACGAGTTCAGTTTAACTGCGCTCGCGCGGGTCGGTGAACGTGCCGCGCGCGCCCCACGTGGTTCGCCGCGACCTGTTAAAGGAACAAAACAAAACACAAGAAAACAAACAGCGGTACCGTACAGGGAGTGACGTCAGCAGGCGGTAGAATGACCGCGCGTGCGCTGTGAGGGAAGAGCGAGAGTGTGTGTATGTGGCGTGTGTGTGTGTGTGTGTGTGTGAGAGAGAGAGAGAGAGAGAGAGAGAGAGAGAGAGAGAAGATTGAAAAGAAAGAGAAAAAGAAAGGAGAGAGAAAAGAAAGAGAAAAAGGAAAGGAGAGAGAGAAGAGAGAGATAGAAGGGAGAGAGAGAAAAGACAGAGGGATAGAGAGAAGGAGAGAAGAGAGAGATAGAGAAAAAGAATAGAGAGAAATTTAAAGAGAGAAAGACAGAGAGAGGTATACAGAAAAAGAGAGAAAAGAAAGGAAAAGAGGAAAGAGAAGAGAGAGAAAAAAGAGAAACAGAAAAGGGAGAGATTTACGGAGAGAGAAAAGAGGGAGAGAGAAAGAAAAGAGAGAGAAAGAGAGGAGAGAGATTTACAGAGTGCGAGAGAGAAAAGAGAGAAAGAAAAAGGGAGAGAGATTTACAGAGAGAGGAGTGAAAAAGAGAGAAAAGAGTGAGAGAGATAAAGAAAAAAGAGAGAAACAGTGAAAAGAGAGATGTACAGAGAGAGAAAAGAGAGAGAAACAGTGAAGAGAGATATACAGAGAGAGAGAGAAACAGTGAAGAGAGAGATGTACAGAGAGAGAGAGAGAGAGAGCGAATCAGACTGAATGAAATCCCTTCATCTCAGTTTCTGGTCTCTGTAAACTGTGAACAGTGATTTGTTCTCTTTAGTTTCAGGTCATTTTAAAGCTCTAACAGTAAATCGCTCTGTGTGTCTCTGTGTGTCTTTGTGTCTCTGTGTGTCTCTGCGTGTCTCTGTGTCTCTTTGTGTCTCTGTGTGACTTTATGTCTCTGTGTGTCTCTGCGTGTCTCTGTCTCTGCGTGTCTCTGTGTCTCTGTCTGTATCTGTGTCTCTGTGTGTCTGTGTGTGTCTCTGTCTGTCTGTCTCTGTCTCTTTGTGTCTGTGTGTCTCTGTCTGTGTGTGTCTGTGTGTGTCTGTGTGTCTCTGTGTGTCTGTGTGTCTCTGTCTGTCTGCCTGTCTCTGTGTGTCTCGGTGTGTCTGTGTGTCTCTGTGTGTCTCTGTCTGTCTGTCTGTCTCTGTGTGTCTCTTTGTCTCTGTGTGTCTGTGTGTGTCTCTGTCTGTCTGTCTGTCTCTGTCTGTCTCTGTGTGTCTCTGTCTGTCTGTCTGTCTGTCTCTGTGTGTCTATGTGTCTCTGTGTGTCTGTGTGTCTCTGTCTGTCTGTCTGTCTCTGTGTGTCTCTGTGTCTCTGTGTGTCTCTCTGTTTTCCAGGTAAATGTTGAGGACTCAAACAACATGTTACCCAAATCCAGACGAGCGCTCACCATTCAGGAGATCGCAGCTCTCGCCAGATCTTCACTTCACGGTAAACGAGCACCCTCACCTGCAGCGTTTCGGCTCCTTTTACACTCTAATGTATCACTTACAGCACTATTACGCCTCTTACACCTGCGTGTGTCCCTGCGTATTAAAGGGGAATCCCACAGAATCTCCACAAACTCTGCATCAGTGAAGGGCTCAGAGGTAAACAGAGCAGAGCTTGAGAGAGAGCAGAGCGACGTGATGTTGCTCGGAGCAGCTTTTCAGAAAGTCGGAGCGTCAGATGTGTCTCTCTCTCTCTCGCTCTGAAATCGCTCCATCCCGCCATCCAGACAGGCCTTTTTTTCCACATAGGCTCCCTCTGCACACCACAGCCGTTCATACACAGCATCTGCAGAGCTGTTCAGCAGACCTACATACTGGAAATTCTCACCGATCACAACAATCTACAGATATTACACAGAGGCTGTGTCCCAATTCAGGGGCTGCGTCCTTCAGAGGCTGCATTCAAAGGCCGATTGCATCACAGGGTCGCGAGTAGACCGTCCCATTTCAAAGAATCTTTCATATGTGGCCGAGAAATGTGTCCCTCTTTTCCATGGCAATGAAGGATGCAACGGATGGATCCTTCACCAGCCAACATATCCCAAGGTTCATTGTGTGCGGGTGAGGATTCGAGAACGTGGCGGCGTCAGCAGAGGAGCGAACGGCGGCTGAGGAGACACTTTAAATATATGTATTGGGTTTAAACTGAGTCGAATAGCTAACGATACAGATGTAAAGAAAGCCAATGTGGTCTGAAGCAGAACTTACTCTAACATTTCGTTTTGTTTTAGGGAGCAAAGAGCCGACAGAGAGAAGCATCTCCAGCTCTAATAAAGGAAAAACTAAAAAACTAAAATCAAAGTTTCTGTCATCTTTAAAAACTTTAAATTCATTTCGGTTCAGCCTTCACGGGTCTACGCAGCCTTCGATGGACACGCCTTCACAGACCGTGTCCTCTGAAGGATGCAGCTCCTTTATTGGGACACAGCTAGAGTCAGCTATGCGTCGTCAATTTTGAGGCACGAATGATAAAGATGGTGTTAAAAGCATTGTATATTTGTTTACCCTCGGCGGATTTCTAAAGTTGGGCCATCGCTTCAAGTCTGGACCTCCCAAAAAAAGCCTGTGCAGCACAGAATTTTTTACTGGTTCTTTGTTTAATAAGGACTACAAATTATATAATTAATGAAATAAAGTGTGTAGTGTCTGGTCCATACATTCAAGACATAAAATAACTCATAAGAATGGATCATATCGCCGCTGTCGGAACAAAACCTTGTATCTCCAATTTTGGCATTTTTCAGTTTTCAACATAATTTGAAAATACCTGTTGCCCCCTACAGTGTATGTAAATTTTATGATGAATGGACCAAAAGAAACAGCCCAAAATTACTTGGAAAAACATCTGGTTCCATTGACTTACATTAAAAGTAAAGTAGGTTTTTTCCTTCTCCTGTAAAGTTTTCATTTTGGAGATACAAGGTTTTGTTCCGACAACAGTGACATGGAGCGGAGTTTCTCTGAGTGTGGGGGCAGGGGATAGAAAACCCGGAGCAGAGCTGAAGTGGAGTGATTACAGAAACGGTGTGGGTGAGGAGCGAAAACATCCGCCACTCCTCTCACAAGCTCTACTTCAGAGCGCTCTGGTGTGAAATGCTTCGTTTTTGAGAAACTTAAGAGTCAGAATTGTTCACAGTGGTGGTGATAGGAACCAGACGTCCACCTCTAAAAGCTCCCACACAGAAAGTACATGAAATCACTACAAATGTGCTGCCTGATGCCTGAGACATTGTTTTATAGAAGCTTTGAAACAAGCTTTTGGGCTTTTTATATCCATTCCTGGTGGAGGGATACATGCAGGGCATTGTGAGGCCAAGTAGTCCCCAAAGAAGACTTCTCTCTATTTTAAACATTACATATAAAAAAAACATGCATATTCACTGGTGGTTTTGGATAGTTAATAAAATGACTATATTTGGGTTGCGACCCCTGGTTCCATTCACCACCACTGTAAAGAAAATAACTCAGAGTGCACCATTCTGCTTTGTTTATTCTGCAGAAATTTTGAAAAATGGGTGGAATTCCCCTTCAGCCCTCTATAGCCACCACAACCCAAGAAGTGTCATCTGTTCTATAATGTGGCGCTGTGTTAGTGTGCTAGTCTAATGTAGGCTAATTGCTGAAGCATAAGTATACTGTAGCTACTTATGAGAAATGTGAGTGAAATTGCATAAGAAGCGATTATAAAGGGGTCCGTTGCCATGGAGACATGGTTACACCACTGGACATTCCCATCATTCCTTCTTATATCTCAGGTTTTTTCCTTTATCTCTATGTTGCATTTCAATTGTACGCCTTATTTTTCTTTTGATATTTGTTAGCATGTTAGTATATGTTAAAGGGGAACTCCACAGATTTTTCAAAATTCTGCATAATTCAGTTGCTGAGATGTGAGCCAAGTTATCTAGAGTGGTTTGATTTGAAATGGTTTACTGTACAGAAATGTAGACTCTTTACAGTGGTGGTGATAGGAACCAGGGGTCGCCATGACTACAACACAAATATAGACATTTTATTTACTATCCAAAACCATCAGTGAACCTACACGAGTCTTCTGAGTTTATATGTTATGTTGATGATGGTAAAATAGTAAATAGTAAACCTGATAAGCCTTATAACAGCCTTATGCATGCACCCCTCCACCATGATTGGCTTAAAAAAAATATGTTTTAGGCCAGAACCTTCTCTCAAGACTAGCGTAAAACTACGTCTCAGGCATCGGGCAGTGTTTTCATAACCACTTCATAACCATCTCATGTTACAGTGAAGCTTTAAGTGGCTTTAAACGTTTCAGACGTCTGGTTCCTATCACTAACACTGTGAATCCCTCCTCCTTAAATGCATTTTAAAAAAGGGCGAAAAAATTATTTCAAAACTGCTGTAAAACAGTGTCCCAGATACCAGGCAACATATTCATAAACATGCCATGTAACAACTTCCATTGAGGGAAGGCATAGAGGCATCAGACGTCTGGTTCCTATCACCACCAATGTGAAGAGTTCTGACTCGGAAAGTTTCCCTAGAATGGAGCATTTCACACCAAACCACTCTCAAAGACTTAGTTTACATCTTAGCTGATTCCGCAGAGACTCGGTAAAGCCAGTGGAACTCCCCTTTAAACATGCTCACAAATGGCGAAATAAAACCTACGTGTTTGTGTGATCAGGTATCTCTCAGGTGGTCAAGGACCATGTGACGAAGCCCACGGCGATGGCTCAGGGCCGGGTGGCCCACCTGATCGAGTGGAAGGGCTGGTGCAAACCCACGGACTCTCCAAACGCGCTGGAGTCCGACTTCAACTCCTACTCAGACCTGACGGAGGGCGAGCAGGAGGCGCGCTTCGCAGCAGGTCAGTGCGTAACGAGCCTGGGGGTCTTTGTATGTGTCGGACTTCAGGAATGAGTCGACAGAGTTGATAAGCCGTCAGCGACATCAAACTGTTTTCCTTCATGGTGCTGGGTTAACAGCTGCTGGTCGTCATGACGTAATCATTGGTTTGGTCAACCTTGGAAAGACGCTGCCCGAACAACCACAACATTAGCTTGGCGAACATCTACAGTGACCAACAGTGTCAGGAGAACTAGTAACAATATGGAGCTCGTCTTTTCGCACAACTAAGACAAATAACTTCAGCTGGATATAAACATGACGATAAACACTAACCTTACCTAAGACACCACTAGGATGGTAGAGGTAATAGCTATCTGTAGTGATTTGCTCACTACAACAGAAAGAATAGCTACCCTGCAAAAACAGTTACATCAGGACAGCCTGTTGTTTTGATGCCCACAATGTTGAAATGTAATTCCTCAGAAAGTTGTGACAACGTTATCTGACAACATTGTGACAACATATTAGCAACGTTGTCAGTACGTTGTCACAACCTCCTGGAATCCTCACAAGTTCCATTATGTTGTGCATGGAACTCCATGGAATGTTGCTAAGTTGCCAACAGGTAGTCATAATATCGTATGACAACATTACTGAATAATAAGGTTGTGACGTTGTATATGTATGAATAATAACGTTGTAGTAACGTTATAGGAAAGTAGACAATGTTGTGACAATGTTGTGTGTTTGCTGGGTAGCTACAGTACCTTTCGTTTTTCCAGTAGTTATTGTGGAAATACCTGAAGTCATATAGAATGCAATGATTGGTTGGACTCCTTTGCTTGTATTCCATACACCAGCTTCCACAGGAGCAGTTTTCCGTACAGTGTTTTCCTGCATTTAATTTTTTTTTAATGAAATCTAGTGGCATAAAAACGGCCCTTAACTGATTATATTAATTCAGTTTTTAAAAATGTATAAACAATATGTGTGACGAATGAGGCAACCAGCCTAGTAAAGTGAGTCAGTGGTGTGAAGGGACTCAGCTAAGGTCACTCAGCTGATGGTGTAAACTTAATTTAACTCAGTATTAAACGTACTGTGGTGATAATGAGTCGTTTAACATTCGTTGGAGTGTTAAATATGAGGTTTAAACATGCTAAAATGCATTTAAACTGGCTGTGAAAGTTTCCCCACCCCATTCACATTTGCATCCCTCTTGGTCCCCACCCACCATTTTCGGGTCGCGTTGGGGGCGGTCACTATTTACACAAGTTTGATGTCCAAACTGAGCTTAGATGGTCCCGCCAACTGTTTTGATGGCAACAACTATATATGACAATGTATCGGATGCATCGCTAATAACAAGAAATTGTTTTTTATTACACAAATAGGAAAAGCTGCAAGCGTACAGAATACTGAAGCGTACGGAATACCGAAGCGTACGGGATACCGAAGCGTACGGAATACCGAAGCGTACGGAATACCGAAGCGTACAGGATACCGAAGCGTACGGAATACCGAAGCTTACGGAATACCGAAGCGTACGGAATACCGAAGCGTTCAGAATACTGAAGCGTTCAGAATACTGAAGCATACAGAATACTGAAGCGGTCAGAATACTGAAGCATACAGAATACTGAAGTGTTCAGAATACTGAAGCATTCAGAATACTGAAGTGTTCAGAATACTGAAGCATACAGAATACTGAAGTGTTCAGAATACTGAAGCATACAGAATACTGAAGCGTTCAGAATACTGAAGCATTCAGAATACTGAAGTGTTCAGAATACTGAAGCATACGGAATACTGAAGTGTTCAGAATACTGAAGCATACAGAATACTGAAGCGTTCAGAATACTGAAGCATTCAGAATACTGAAGCGTTCAGAATACTGAAGCATACGGAATACTGAAGCGTTCAGAATACTGAAGCATACAGAATACTGAAGCGTTCAGAATACTGAAGCATTCAGAATACTGAAGCGTACGGAATACTGAAGTGTTCAGAATACTGAAGCATACGGAATACTGAAGTGTTCAGAATACTGAAGCGTACGGAATACTGAAGTGTTCAGAATACTGAAGCGTACGGAATACTGAAGTGTTCAGAATACTGAAGCATACAAAATACTGAAGCATACGGAATACTGAAGCATACGGGATACTGAAGCATACAGAATACTGAAGCGTACGGGATACTGAAGCATACAGAATACTGAAGCGTACGGAATACTGAAGTGTTCAGAATACTGAAGCATATGGAATACTGAAGCATACGGAATACTGAAACATACGGGATACTGAAGCATACAGAATACTAAAGCGTACGGGATACTGAAGTGTACAGAATACTGAAGCGTACGGAATACTGTGCTCTTACATTCGCTACAGTAGAAATAACAGCTACTAACACTGATTTGCTACAATAGAATAAAAATAATTCTTTACACTGTAATGCAAAATACCATATTAGTGACTATTGGACACCATCAGGAACCAACAGAAACTTTTAACGGTTTCTCTGATTTTGTCCCCTAAGGTTGGTAACTATAATCATTAGCTAAAAGAAGAAAGACTGGCATATGAACAGGTTAGCAGGTGAGCTAATGAAGCTATGCTACCTATGAGGGCCTAAAACACTCATTGTTATTTCTGGTGTGTTGAGTGGTTTTAAGCTGGACTCCTAGTTTGTCAGGATGTGACCAGTGAAAAGACGTCACTGTCTACCTTCATTAACCATCAACAGAACACGATACCAGAGTACAGTGACGCCTGTTGCTTTGGGAAAAAGAGTGAAACCCGCAGTGAAATGTACACCTGCATTCGTCTTCTGTTCCCTCTCTCTCTCTCTCTCTCTCTCTCTCTCTCTCTCTCTCTGGCACAGACTCTGCAGTGCAGGTTCTGTGAAGGTTAATTAGTTCTCTCTCGCTCTGGTGACAAAGCTTTTCTGTCGTTTTTTGTGCCAAAGTGACTTGCAAGGAACTTTCTCTCCCTCACTCCCTCCTTTTCTGACTTATTTGCTCTTTCTCTCTCTCTCCCTTTGCCTCTCTTTGTTTTTCTCCCTCACTCTCTCCCTTTTCTCCTCTTTTCTCTCTCTCTCAACTTTTCTACCTCCCCTCTTCTCTTCTTTCTACCTGTCCCTCTTCTCTCTCTCTCCTTTTGTACCTCGCCCACTCTTTCCTTTCTTACCTTCTTATTTTCTCTCTCTCCTTTTCTACCTTTCTACCTCTTTTTCTGCCCTTCCTTTCTCTCTCTTTCTCTCTCTCTGTATGACGTCTCTACTCTGGGACAGAAACACAAAACATTAAAGTGGTTCCGGTGAGTGTGTGTGTGTGTGTGTGTGTGTGTGTGAGTGTGAGTGTGTGTGTGTGTGTGTGTGTGTGTGTGTGTGTGTGTGAGTGTGTGGTGTGGTGAGTGTGTGTGAGTGTGTGTGTGTGTGTGTGTGAGTGTGTGTGTGTGTGTGTGGTATCCCCTGCAGGATGCTGGCTGTGTGCCTACACTCACTCACACACACACACACAGAGGAGTGTGCAGTGATTCTGTGGATAAAATCGAACTCCGCTTACATCTGGGAAACCTGCCAGACCCCCAACAACAACCTGCAGTGAGTGAGTGAGTGAGCGAGTGAGCGAGCAGGACAGGAGATGAATGGGCAGAATTGATCCGGGAGCCGACTCACAGATTCAGGAGTGGGAGGGGCGGGCGAGCAGAGCCGTGATTGGCCGTCCAATCAGGGAGGGGGAGGACTGACCTCTGATTGGTGGATTAATCAGTGAAGGTGATATGACGAAATTTAGGGCTGTGCTTTCTGCTGAGTCACGCAGCCACACCATCAGCATCATACGCATCTGTGTGTGTGTGTGTGTGTGTGTGTGTGTGCACGCCATGACTTTGCTAGCAATGCTGACCAGCGAGGTCACTTCCTGTCCAGTAGAGGACACTGGCGTGACATCATCGTACTTTGTCAAATTCGTCATCCCAGCGGTCAGTCAGATGTCCATTTCCGTGGCGACGTCACGCCCTCTGGATCTGTATGTGTAGTATACAGTATGATGAGACAGTGTAAGCTGAGTGACCTCAGCTATGTAAGTTTGGGGGATTTGGCGGCCTCTCTGGTGAAAATGTGTCATTGCACACAACAGGTGGAAGAACATTTTGTAACATCGGTTGTGCTTCGAGAGGATAAACATGAAGATTGAAAGACTATTCAAAGTCAGAACCTGGTGAAAGGCGTGTCTTCTGAGGATATAAGTGAATTATCTACCACTGCCATCATATCTTCATCAGTAAAATGTTTATTTTGCTGCATTTGAGACCTAAACATCGAGCTGGACCTTCTTTTGGAGTCCGTGCTTGATGTTAGGAATTTTTAATCAGATACAATCAAGCAAGCTCTCCCATTGGTTAGGCCTTCAGGAGCTGAACAGAAGGTCTTACACACTAGATTAACTACTAGATTAACTGCTAGGGTTGTATAAGCATAGTGGATCTACATGCCTACTAGAGCAAAATCAAGGAAAGTAGTTAGATAGGAAAGTAAGTCTCATTTAACTATGCTTACACAGCCCTAGTTAAATGGCATGTAGGAAGCACTGAAGTGAGAGTGCCAATAAATGTCAAGCTTAAGCTGATTTTATACACCAGTCATATAAATTTAATGGAATAAACTTCTTAGTGGATTTATAATGTCTGGTATCAGCTAAATCTTCGCTCCCTCACTGTTTTCCAACTAAAAAGTACGAGGTGAAGTAAGTTATGATGTGGCTAGGCTAGTGACGTCAGCTGAGGTAACTGATCTTAAAGACTTTAGATTGACTGCATTTTGGTGTCAACTTCAAACCACACGTAATCTACTGTGGATTTTTGTGGGGTTTATTGTGATGCAGTACAGTAATAGTGTCAGTGGTTAGTTTACTAGCTACGCTGGCAGTGTTTATTAACAGCAGAATATGACAATAACTGAGTGAAATAAACTAGTCACTGAATCAAATGCGTGAAAACTAGTGACTGAGTAAAATATACTACTAACTGAGTGAAATATATTGAATACACTGAATAAAATATGCTAATAATTGAATGAAATATACCAGCGGCTGAGTGAAATATGGCAGTAACTCAGAGGCTGAGTTAGTCGTGGATGAGTGAAACATGTTAATAAGTTAACTGAGTTAAAGCGAGTGGCTTCAAATGAGTTAAAATTCTAAATTACTCCAAAGAACAGGCCCTTAAACCACACTAACAGCTAGGAAAACGTCTGTGAAAGGAAGAAGAGGTAACATTCGCATATCCAGATCATTACTCCACTGTTTGTTTGGGCGTTTGTATGGATCCACACCCTCAATACGGCTAATTTTATCCATATATTGTTGTTTAGCGTTCTGTTGGAGTTATAATACTTCTCTTCTTTCATTTGATTCACTTTAAAGCAGGACAACAGTGGTGGACGAGGTACACAAACCATGTACTTGAGTCAAAGTAGAGACACCCAAGGTAAAATATTACTCCAGTAAAAGTAGAAGTTCCTCCCTTTAGACCTCCACTTGAGTAAAAGTACTAAAATATTCCCCTTTAAATGTACTTAAGTATCCGAAGTAAAAGTACTGAAAGATTAATTATGGCTCTGATGTCCTATTATCATTTTTATAACAAGACTCACTTCATTAACTCATTTTAGGTGAAAATACTCCAGTGTCTCTCTTGGTAAACCAGTCTTTTAATAGAATGTCATTAATTAGTGACACTGATGTCTATTAAAATTATCATAAGCACAAAACACTGAAGGCGAAGAGTTTCCATCAGGTAGAACTGAGTGGCTCTGAAATCACTTTTTACAAACAAGCAAAGTTTCACTTTAAGATTTATTTGAACTTAGTTACAAGTTTAAGTTTAATAAAAACTTTAAACTCAGATTCACAAATGAGTTTCCTTTACTAAACTGCATCTGTAGGTCTCTGTTCATAAACATAAACTAGCCTAAACTAATTTACTATAAAATGAAATGTGTTTGTATAAATTCAGAATAAAGACCCGTCAGTCTCAACTGCATATGAGTACATATTTCTATATTGTGGTCTATTTACACAAAGTTAGCTTAGTTCATCATTTATGTTGAATAGACTCTCCCAAAATTTTACGCTGCTGCACTGATGTTGAACCGTGTGCTGCACTGGGTCGGTATGACCAACAGGTCAAAACAAGCTCAAAACAAAGTGCGCTGTGCCCTGATTGGTGTTCTTGCTTCACCCTTCTTTCGTTTTGATGTTGTTTTTATACACACATAAACCAAAAGGAACGACAGATTTCTCATAATGTAGTGGAGTAAAAAGTGAGATATTTGACTTTGAAATGTAGTGGAGTGAAAGTAAAAAGTCCCAAAATGGAAATACTTCAGTAAAGTACAGATACACGAAAAAACTACTTAAGTACAGAAACGAATTACATTCACTTCGCTACTGTCCACCTCTGCAGGACAATAAAAAAGCAGCTTCTTTAATATCTCGAGCTGTGTTTGATTATTTGTAGCATGTAAACGAAAAATGAACCCTGCCAATATGACAGAACAGTCCCATAATTCAGCGTGGCCTGACAGTGTTTATGCATGTTTTCCAGGTGTTGCTGAACAGTTTGCGATTGCGGAGGCAAAACTTCGGGCCTGGTCTTCAGTAGACGGAGATGAGTCTAACGACGATTCCTACGATGAAGACTTCCTACCTGCTAACGAACCCACCACACAGAGTACAGGTACGAGTTTTTCACACTGTAATTGTCTTTACATCCTCAGCCGTGCTGTTATTCTATCTCTCTCTCTCTTCTGTCTCTTAACACGTCCCTGTCTTTCTCCCTTTCTTTCTCCAGCATGGCATGAATGCTTATTGTCCCAGTGCCCTACTTTCATCCTCCGAAAACACCCTCTCTCTCTCTCTCTCTCTCTCTCTCTCTCTCTCTCTCTCCCCCTTCATTTTGCTCCCTCGCGCAATTTGATATCCCAGCATTCATTTCTCCTGCAAGTTTAATGTGCTCAAGCTGACTGATGGCGGCAGAGAGCAGAGGAGGAGAGAGAAAAGGAAGAGCAATAAAAAAGGGGGATGGATCTTACCGAGACAGAGGCAGACAGAAAAAGAGTAAATGTGACAAGAATATAAACATGACAGAATATTGTGTAAAAGTCTAAGACTGCCCTTTATTTATTTAATGTCCAGTCAAACAGACATTAAGTACAAGTTATTAATTTTTCAGGAGATATTTCTGAAGAAATCAGTGAAAAAAACAAGAGAGTTTCCAAAACTGGAATTAAAAATAAAACAATAAAAGATACAGAGAAAATGGAATTCCTAACAACCACCTGGAAGACCTCATAGACAAACACTGTCAGATAAACAGCACTTAAAGCTTTCGTTTTTGGGTAGAAGCTCCTTTATTTCTTCTGAAAAATCTGGAAAAAGTCCAAAAACGGACACTTTAAATACTAAAAAATCATATTATGTTCAGTTGTTGAGGCTTCTGTGTAATTTTCTGTTTTGCGCTTTTTTCCCTGATGCTGAAAAATAAATAATATATATAAATATGGTAGTGGATGAGTGAATATGCTAATAACTGAGTGAAATACGCTAATAACTGAGTGAAAAATGCTAATAACTGAGTGAAAAATGCTAATAACTGAGTGAAATATGGTAGTTGATGAGTGAAAAATGCTAATAACTGAGTGAAAAATGCTAATAACTGAGTGAAATATGGTAGTTGAGTGAAAAATGCTAATAACTGAGTGAAATATGGTAGTTGATGAGTGAAAAATGCTAATAACTGAGTGAAATATGGTAGAGGATGAGTGAAAAATGCTAATAACTGAGTGAAAAATGCTAATAACTGAGTGAGATATGGTAGTTGATGAGAGAAAAATGCTAATAACTGAGTGAGATATGGTAGTTGATGAGTGAAAAATGCTAATAACTGAGTGAAATATGCTAATAACTGACTGAAAAATGCTAATAACTGAGTGAAATATGGTAGTGGATGAGTGAAAAATGCTAATAACAGTGAAAAATGCTAATAACTGAGTGAAATATAGTAGTGGCTGAGTGAAATATGCTAATAACTGAGTGAACAATGCTAATAACTGAGTGAAATATGGTAGTTGATGAGTGAAATATGCTAATAACTGAGTGAAATATGGTAGTGTATGAGTGAAATATGCTAATAACTGAGTGGATTATGCAAATAACTGAGTGAGATATGGTAGTTGAGTGAAAAATGCTAATAACAGTGAAATATGGTAGTTGAGTGAAATATGCTAATAACTGAGTGAAAAATGCTAATAACTGAGTGAAATATGCTAATAACTGAGTGAAATATGGTAGTTGAGTGAAAAATGCTAACAACTGAGTGAAATATGGTAGTTGATGAGTGAAATATGCTAATAACTGAGTGAAAAATGCTAATAACTGAGTGAAAAATGCTAATAACTGAGTGAAATATGGTAGTGGATGAGTGAAAAATGCTAATAACTGAGTGAAAAATGCTAATAACTGAGTGAAATATGGTAGTGGATGAGTGAAAAATGCTAATAACTGAGTGAAAAATGCTAATAACTGAGTGAAATATGGTAGTGGATGAGTGAAAAATGCTAATAACAGTGAAAAATGCTAAGAACTGAGTGAAATATGGTAGTGGATGAGTGAAATATGCTAATAACTGAGTGAAAAATGCTAATAACTGAGTGAACAATGCTAATAACTGAGTGGAAAATGCTAATAACTGAGTGAAATATGGTAGTTGATGAGTGAAATATGCTAATAACTGAGTGAAATATGGTAGTGGATGAGTGAAATATGCTAATAACTGAGTGAAAAATGCTAATAACTGAGTGAAATATGGTAGTTGATGAGTGAAAAGTGCTAATAACTGAGTGAGATACGGTAGTTGATGAGTGAAAAATGCTAATAACTCAGTGAAATATGGTAGTTGATGAGTGTAATATGCTAATAACTGAGTGAAATATGGTAGTGAATGAGTGAAGTATGCTAATAACTGAGAGAAAAATGCTAATAACTGAGTGTAATATGCTAACAACTGAGTGAAATATGCTAATAACTGAGTGAAATATGCTAATAACTGAGTGAAATATGGTAGTGGATGAGTGAAAAATGCTAATAACTGAGTGAAATATGCTAATAACTGAGTGAAATATGGTAGTTGATGAGTGAAAAATGCTAATAACTGAGTGAAATATGGTAGTGGATGAGTGTAAAATGCTAATAACTGAGTGAAAAATGCTAATAACTGAGTGAAATATGGTAGTGGATGAGTGTAAAATGCTAATAACTGAGTGAAAAATGCTAATAACTGAGTGAAATATGGTAGTTGATGAGTGAAATATGCTAATAACTGAGTGAAATATGCTAATAACTGAGTGAAATATGGTAGTGGATGAGTGAAATATGCTAATAACTGAGTGAAATATGGTAGTGGATGAATGAAATATGCTAATAACTGAGTGAAAAATGGTAGTGGATGAGTGAAATATGCTAATAATTAAGTGAAAATTGCTAATGACTGAGTGAAAAATGCTAATAACTGAGTGAAAAATGCTAATAACTGAGTGAAATATGGTAGTTGATGAGTGAAATATGCTAACAACTGAGTGAAAAATGCTAATAACTGAGTGAAATATGGTAGTGGATGAGTGTAAAATGCTAATAACTGAGTGAAAAATGCTAATAACTGAGTGAAAAATGCTAATAACTGAGTGAAATATGGTAGTGGATGAGTGAAATATGCTAATAACTGAGTGAAAAATGTTAGTGGATGAGTGAAATATGCTAATAACTGAGTGAAATATCGTAGTGGATGAGTGAAATATGCTAATAACAGTGAAAAAAGGCAGTGGATGAGTGAAATATGCTAATAACTGAGTGAAATATGGTAGTGGATGAGTGAAAAATGCTAATAACTGAGTGAAATATGCTAATTAATGAGTAAAAAATGCTAATAACTGAGTGAAATATGGTAGTTGATGAGTGAAATATGCTAATAACTGAGTGAAAAATGCTAATAACGGAGTGAAAAATGCTAATAACTGAGTGAAATATGGTAGTTGATGAGTGAAATGTGCTAGTAAAGCCCTCATTCTTTATTCTCTGTCCACAGATCTGTCGTCGTACCCTCATTACCTGCGGGACCTCTTACACACCCAAGTGTGTCAGGCACATCTGCGGAGGCGAGGGGCATGTGAGGCTGAGAGCGGTGTGGCCTTTGACCTTTCGCCCCCTGTGGGCTCGCCGGCCTCCCCGTCCGACACCCTCTGCTCCAGCCTGTGCAGCCTAGATGAGAGACACCCACTGCTCCGGGACCTCGGTCACCGTGGCGACCTGGGTCATCGTGGCGACACAGCGGCTGACCTCGCTGCCAAGCTCCTGGGGGCACTGCACGGAGGGGACGACCCACTTCTGGCACGGCTCCAACGGGCCGGACTCAGACGGGGTGGACAGTCGCCCTGCTGCCCGTTCGAAGACGAGGACGCTCCATGCAAGGACTGCAGAGGCGGAGTCTGCTGCCCACCCGAGTACCACGCGCGGAGGAAGGTGTCGGACGTGGCCTCATCCGGCATAGTGTCGCTGGATGAGGAGGACGGGGAAGAGGAGGAAGTGGACGAAGAGGAAAGGGAACAGTGACTGCGCCTTCCCTTCTGTCCTGGTTCCGCCTCCTCGGAATGACTTAGCATGTTTACGTAAGGCTCCTCCCCTCTCATTTGCATCTGTATCCGCCTTCTCTGGTCTGTTTTTTGAGACGTTTGTTGTTTTATTTGTACTGCGCGGCGGGGAGGATGCGATGTCAGCAAGACGAAGAAGAAGAAGCGTTCCGAGAAAAATTACGCTAAACTCGGAAAAACTGGCGAAGCTATAGACGAGTCAGAGGAACGAAAGGCTGGAAGTGGACTGAAACAGAACAAAACAAAACAACGGACCCTTCTGCATGTGTCTGGACGTTCGGACAGTTCCTTAGCACGGTTTGCGAATTTGGCTGTCCTGTTACCCAAAAGTGCTCAGGCCCCAATGCATTATGGGGCCTGGTTTGTCCCGCCCCCTTTTTTGCAAGAGACGGTTGCATCCTTTGGGCATGGCTGCTTGCTGAGTAAAACTCGAAAATGAAAAGAAAAGAAAAGAAGAAAAAAAAAACGAACTGCCAAACTAAACTTTCCTTAGCCTGTCACAATCAGCTCCGAGAATACTGCTGGAATGTTGAATGTTTGTACAGTGACGGGAATATGTATTTCAAAACGAAGCATAAAAAAGAGATTAATTTTGAATTTTTGTTTCTTTTTTGGGGTTTGAACTAGTTTTTTAACCACTACTGTTATTATTATTATTATTATTATTATTATTGCATTCATAGAATTTGCTAGAATTTCAGTATTTGACTTTTTTGTTTCGGTAACACTTTATAATAATAGGCCCCAATATATATATATATGATATTTGCAATAATAAATGCTACCATTTGAATTATTAACTATTTACCTAGCGACATGCATAGGAATCACTTTTGAATCATAAAAACTTATACAAATTATAGTTTGTTAATACTCATAATCCATAAATGATTTAACTTGACATATTAAGCATTTAGTTGCACAAAAATCAATTAATATTCATTACAAAATAATGACAAATTATTAGGTAGTAATTTATTATCCTGCTACTTTGTGGCGTAAACATTTCCATAATGCTTAGTTATGTAATCATATAATGTATTCATAAATATACATGCTATCACTTAATATAGGTCAGTGTATTTATGAAATGCAGTTACCGTGCTTTAATTATTTGCATGTCACTAAGTAAGTGGAGGATAATTCAAATGCACTTATTAATGCACAAGGAACAATTAAATAGTTATTAATAATCAATAACAAACTATTAGTTGCTATATATTACAGGGGCCTGTTACTCTGAAGTGCTACTTTCTCTGAATAGTCTTAACAAGAAACCATGACAGAATGTTCTTCGAGGTGGTTTGGTGGTGTAAAAAAAGTCCAGTACAAAGAGAAGTGTTGTAACTGACCGAGCCTTGGTTTATGTAGAGGTCATTCGGGGGTTTTTGTGGGAGAGTTCAGTCTATTTTTGTAAGTGTGTCCTTTTTCCAGACTATGTGGGTCACTCTTAACGTTCATTGCGTCGGGAAGACGCTTGTTGCCAGCTTTCTCCCTCTATATCTCTCTCTCTCTCTGTCTCTCTGTCTCTCTCTCGTTCAGAGCTATCACTGTGTGATATTGTCTATACAAAGAAAATGAATCGACCTGAGTGTGAACAGACCAAGTGGTTTATTAATTTTTTTTCCTCTTCTTCTTCTTTTCCGTTTCTTTAGCCGCGTCTCGGGCACTCGCGGCCTTTTTCTTCGGATCCACTTTTCAAAACGCCTCATTTTTCTCTTTATTCGCTGGAAATGTCAAGTACTCCAAGTACTCTCTCTCGCCCCCTCTCTCTCTCTCTCTCTAGCGGCTAATTCTGTTCGCTGACATTCATGTCATCGTTGCCATGGTTATCCACGTTTCCTCAGGACTAAACGAGGACCCTCCAGCTGCCCACTTGAGAAACTCTGATTGGCTCCCAGCTCTATGAAGCCCCGCCCACGAGCCACTTCACAATGATAGAAATTAGCTCGGTGTCCACTTGCTGGCCTGTTGGACTGCGAGTACAGCTGTGTGTGAGTGTATGTATGTGTGGGTGTTTTCTGGGTGTCTCAGGGGAGTCTCTGTGCCTTTAACCCTCCCGTACGTCACCCCCTGACCGCTCAGCCGCACATAAACCATTCCCATGGCAACGGGAAATGCTGTTGCTACTGTTTATTGAGAGTGCTGTTTTTTTCTCGGGTATCACTTTATTTCAGTGGTCCACTGTAGATGTGCTGCTGACCTTCACTAAATATCTATTAAATTGAGCTTCGTTTAAAGGGACATCCTGGCCTAAAACTAGCATTTAAAGGTGAATTCCACCCAAATTTTTTGCATAATTCAGTCATTGAGATGTAGACAATGTCATTCAGAGTGTTTGTGTGAAATGGTCTGTTGTAGAGAAACTTACCATAAAGATTTCTTTACAGTGGTGGTGATAGGAACTGGGCGTCACTGGCCACTTTATTTAGTAACCGAAACCACCAGTGAACCCACACGTGTGAAAAGTTGATATTGGTAAAATAGTGATAAATTTGAAAAATACGTTTTCTTTGGGGACTATTTTGCCTTACCATGTCCTGAAAGTACCTCTCCCCCATGAAAATACTTTTTAGGCCAACAACTTAGGAATCAGTCAACATATTCATAACCATCATTCCTTCTATAACATAGTTTTTACAGGCAATAAACTTTTCAGATGTCTGGTTCCTATCACCACCACTGTGAACAATTGTGACTCTGTAAGTTTCTCTAGAATAGAGCATTTCACACCAAACCACTCTGAATGACTGTTTACATCTTTACCATTTAATTACGCAGCGGTTTTGAAAAGTTTGTGAAATTCCCCTTTAATTTTTGCATAGTTTTTGTATCCATCAGCACTCTTTCACTATAATTCCCAGCATGCATTATGCAGATATACCATCGGGAACCCCCCAGTGATGTACCAGGGATTCAGTTTCTTAGCATTAGCTCTCCGGCTTCCTTCTTTATTAGCCAGCTAGCGGGAAATACAGCAATGTTTGTGTAAAAGCTCCTCCTACCTCCAAGATACATCATCAAAAGGGTGTTACTTAGTCTTTATTCCTACTGAACTGAAAAATCCCACTTCTGAGACCACTGTAGCACCACTGTAAGATGCGATTAGACAACTGGTAGATGGTTACATTGTTCATTTGGGCCAGAGTGCCCCTTTAAAGTGATAATGCAATGCTTAACCAGGTCTATCTGCTGCATATTACTGTGGTCAGTAGTTTTACCCTGTATTTAGAGCTGAACAGAAAGCCCATTGACCCAAAGTAGACTTACAATGGAAGCCAATTAGGCTTCATCATGCTTTGTATTTGGGCACCATTCGGCCACCACTGGTCAACTTCGATGGTGGACTGTCTTTGTGGAGTCAACCTGGAGACGAGCTCTAAAGAAATGGTGGAAATGTCCATCCACAGTTTTATATTTTTGAGGCCGAGTGACTCCAATATAATTTTTTTCTCACATTTGATTGATACCAACATGCTGTTCTACCAGGACTCGCACTCCTTTTCTACCCCTCCCTCTCCTGTTCTCTTTTACTTGCTCTTCATCGTCTTTGTATTTCTGACAAGCAATCAAAAGTCTGCTTTCTTTCTAGTTCTCTCTCTCTGTCTCTCTCTCTCTCTCGCCACAGGGGAGGATTATGTAAGAAGTTGAGTGTTACCTTTGCCGACAGGCAATTAACCAGCGATTATGAAAGCGCCCCACGAACTCCAGCATGTCTAGCTCCGATTGTCCTTTTTCACCTCTCTCTCTCGTTCTCTCTCTCCTCCACCTTTTCCCCTTCACTGTCTCCTCTCTCTCTTTGTCTCCTCACCCTTTGTCTGTTTCTTTTTTTTCTCTCTCTCTCTACCCCCCCTTTGCCTCCACTGTTTCATCTCTTCTCTTTCTCTCTTTGTATTTCTTTCTTCTTCTGCTCTCCTTCTCTCTTTTTCTCCTCCACCCTTTCCCCTTTACTTTCTCATCTCTCTCTCGCCCCTTTTCTTTCTCCCTCTTTCTCTCCTCTTCTTTCTCTCTCACCCTCTTTTTTCCCTCCTTACTGTCGCCTTTCTTTTTCTTTCTGCCTCTTTCTTCTTTCTTCCTTCCCCTTTACATTCTTCCCTCTCTATCTCTCCTCCTTTCCTTTCTCTGCCTCATCTCTCTTTCTTTCAGTTTCTCCATCTTTATGCCCTCTACGTTTCTCTCTCTCTCTCTCGATTCCACTGAATCCTGTTTTGAGGTTAATAGCTCTAAAAAGCTATTTAAGTTTTTGAGGGCGGGGCTTTGCTCTTCTTTGAGCAATCTGATTGGCCGCCTGTCACGCTGATGGACAATTATGGCGCGAGAAACGTCACAAGTGTCAGACGTCTCCTAGTGGCCCCATTCCGCAGGCCGGGGACGGCATTGAGAGAGAGAGAGAGAGAGAGAGAGAGAGAGAGAGAGAGAGAGAGAGAGAATATATATCCATAAATAGAGCTGGGAAATTGACGACGGTGTGTGTTAAACACACATTAGTCTCACCCGTTCACACACTCTTAATTAAGACTTCCTATGATCTCTCTGAGGTTTCAGCTATGAAATGATACACGTCTAACACACACACACACACACACACAGGTTAATTAGGCCGTCTTGGTCCCTTGACAATGTTCAGACAGACAGACAGACAGACAGACAGACAGACTCACACATGTTAACAGCTAACAGTAAATCTCCTGAGACTGACATACATACGGCACTGTACGAAAGTCAGAGACCACCTTAGGTTTACTTGAGTTCCAGTCAAAACAGCAATTAAGTAGAAGTTATTCATTTTTCAATATCAGGAAAAAAGCAGAAAACATATATTTAATAGAAAATTACACAGAATCAACAACTAAATATGAAATTTAAACATGTTCAGTATTTCATGTGTGCACCCTGCCTTTATTCCAGCTTCAGTTCTTTTCTAACAGATCTGCAGGGATATTTTTCCACACCTCCAAAGTTCAGTCTTAGAAGTTGGTTGCATTTTCCGTTTCTCGGGATCTGAATATTCCCAAACACATTCAGTGACGTTGAGGTCAGGACTCTTGAAGTGGTCAGTCCATTGTTCTGAGAACACCAACAGCTTCTTTATTCCACTTGCAAAGCTTTAATTTCTGTTTATCTGAGGGGGACAGCCTTGGGGGTCTTGCAGGTCTTGCGGGTGGTTGTTAGGAGTCCCATTTTCACTGTAGCTTTCAATCATTTTTTAAACTCCAGTTCTGTTTCCTGATGCAAGTGCATTATCTTACATCAGATCTCCTCAGAAATATCTCCTGAAAAATGAATAATGCACTTAAATGCTGTTTTGACAGTAAATTATATAAATAATAGGTGGACTCTGACTTTTGCACAGTTCTACAAACTCTCACGTTTGCTTGATTTTTCTTTGTTCTTGATTTTCCTTTTTCTTTTAAGTGACTATAAGTATTTGAATGCCAGTTGTTTTAAAATATGCGACTTTCTTTCTGCATCTGCCCTGTTTTGAAGTTATCAATAAAATTATCTATGTCATTTGCAAGAACTTGTGTCTAAAGCTTTAATAAGATGTGGAACATGGATTATGCAAAACTTAAGACTTTCAATATCGTGATACAGAGATGTTCACAAGTTGCATCATTCATGTCCAGGTCTTTGTAGTGCAAGTCTGAGTCGAATCTCGAGTCTCTGGAGTGCAAGTTCGAGTTGAGTCTCAAGTCTCTGGGG